CCAAATGTGAGTTTTTGCTGCAATGTCCGAGATATTTCTGGAGATGTTGGGTTTTCACAAGATTTTGGGACAGACCTGATAAACGTTGATATTTATTCTTCTATTAGAGATATTAATGTCTCAATATAAAACATTTTAACACTAATTACAGAAATATTCTGTGAGGAAGGAGTTGAAATTTTGGATTATTTTGTGTGAAACCTGCTCTAATGGTCACTGTGATGTGGAAGTTGTGGTCACAGCTTTCATAGAGACATAGTCAGTGTCCAACATCTATTGTTGTCCCATCAGATAAATTACATCTCCATGTTAGTGACTCATTAAAAACCAACAATCTGTCGATGAGGTTTTCTCATCAATGTATCCTTTTGACTTTCTCGGTAATTTCAGCAGCAAGGTGAGGAGTTCGATCTGCAGGCTCAGAGTTGAATCCCTGGTTGATTTGGTCTCCAGGTACAGAGCATGGCAGGAAGGAGTGCACCACAATCCTGGATTTTACATCTTGGACTTGTGGAGGGTACTCACACTCTTACTCAGCTCATTGGAGAACTATTATTGTGTATTATTCAGATTCTGGTACTACCAATCTGGGTGATTATTTTTGTCTGATGTGTTTAGGTTAATTTCTCAGAACCAAGTAAGTTGTCAAGGGGAAGGCGATGGCGTAGTTGTATTATTGCTAGCCTATTAATCCAGAGACCCAGATAATGCCCTGGTTCAAATTGATTCCCAGTTCAAATCTTGCCACAGCAGATGGTGGAATTTGAATTTAATTTTAAAAACTGGTATGACCATGAACCCATTATCGATTGTTGGAAAAACGTACCTGGTTCACTAATTCCCTTCAGGGAAGGAAATCCGCCATCCTCACCTGTCTGACCTACATTTGACTCCAGACCCAATTTCAATTGCGCTCCAAAATGGCCGAGCAAGCCATTCAGTTGTACCAATCGTTACAAACTCTCAAAGAAATGAAACTGGACAGATCACCTGGCATCAACCTAGACACTGGAAAAGTTAATGGCAAAAATAGCCCTGTTGACCTTGCAATGTCCTCCTCGCTACCATCTAAGCGCTAGTGCTAAAATTGGGAGACTAGTCAAGCAACAGCCTGATGTAGTCATACTCACGGAATCATACCTTACAGACAATGTCCGAGACACCACCATCACCATCCCTGGATATGTCCTGTCTCACCGCAGGACAGACCCAGCAGAGGTGGTGGCACAGTGGCATACGTCAGGAGGAAGTTGCTCTGGGGAGTCCTCAATGTTGAATCCAGGCCCCATGAATTCTTGTGGCTTCAGATTAATCATGGGCAAGGAAACGTCCTGCTGATTATCATGTACCGTCCTCCCTCAGTTGATGAATCAGTACTCCTTCATATTGAACAACACTTAGAGAAAGCACTGAGGATGGCAAGGGCACAAACTGATTTCAATGTCCACCACCAAGAGTGACTCGGCAGCAGTACTACTGATCGAGCTGGTCGGTTCCTAAAGGATATAACTGCTAGACTGGATCTGAGGCAGGTGGTGAGGGAACCAACAAGAGGGAAAAACATACTTGACCTCATCCTTACCAATCTGCTGGCTGCAGATGCATTTGTCCATCACACAGTCCTTGTGGAGACGAAGTCCCACCTTCACATTGAGAATAACCTCCATCGTGATGTATGGCACTCTCGCCATGCTAAATGGGACAGACTTCGAACAGTTCTAGCAACTCAAGACTGGGCATCCACGAGGTGCTGTGGGCCATCAACATTAGCAGAATTGCACTCCTGCACAATCTGTAACCTTATGGCCCGGCATATCCCCCACTCAACCACAGCCATCAAGCTGTTTCAGTGGAGAGTGCAGGAAGGTATGCCAGGAGCAGCACCACGCATTCCTGAAGATGAGGTGTCAACCTGTTGAAGCCATCAAACA